ATAGCAAATAAAGCACGATACAAGAGTTGATAGGACGTGTTTCTCGTTTAAACAAATGAGGCATTACACAGGTTTGTGGCAAGCGTATATTTAATGACTCTTATCTTTGTTTTATCTTCTGTCAGTACTATCATAATTACTGTTAAACACTTACGGGAAGATTAAAAAATTATCAGATAACCCGCACCACCCTATTACCCGCAGCAACGGTAGTTTACTGAAAAATTAACGCATTACCCGCGGGTAATCTGCCAGAAATTACGGTACATGTACGAAAGGAAAAAAAAACTCTTTTAAAATAACTTTGATTTAGTTTTACCTTCCCATTTAGCAGCTTCTCTTTCAGCCTGTTCAGAACGAATTTTAGCCCATGGAATAGGTTTAGGTGGAGCTGGCTTGGAGCTGTAAATACACATAGATGAGTAAAGATGTAATCTTTGAATTTAACACCATAAAGTAACCTACTGTACAGTAAATTACTAACAAATGCTAATTAAACATGTATGTGACTGTTGAAAAAAAAATGTACACAAATAAATATTATGTATTCTAGACACAACAAGGCTATTGAGCAACACTTAAATCTAGTGTTTATCACATGTACAACTGTTGGTCAGGACTGCATCAGCTGGCAATTGGTGAAACACTTTGCTGTTAATTATCAACTTGAAACTGATCAAGGTGAATTAACTGCTACATAGTAACTTAGTGATGCCAATGTTTTGATTGTTACTATCAGCTACAGTCGAACCTCTCTAATATGGACACCGAAGGGACAGAGCGAAGTGTCCGTATTAGAGAAGTGTCTGTATTGGAGAGGTCACTATGATGACATCAATTTCAAGTCTCTGCACTATTTTCAATTACACTGTACATATTGTATTTGTATTTGTAAATTATGCAAGTTTTGAAAATTAACATTTTGACATGTTCTGGCATTGGTATTGCTGTATGGTTTCAATGTTTGTGTAACCGCTGACAGGAAATGGTACATACACTCTGTAATGCAAATTATTGACACCTGGTCCCCAGAGTGTCCTTAATAAAGAGATTAAATTTGTATGAATTTGCTCGCTAGGGTTGAGATTTAGGGTCTGCTGTCCATTTTAGAGAGGGTCAATATTATAGAGGTTTTTGAAGAGGAAATGTATGAGAATTTTGTTGGTACACAGGAGGCTGTCCATATTAGAGAGATGTCCGTATGGGGAGGTTCAGCTCTAATAATTATCATTAACGAAAAAACAGTGGCCACACCCAATGTCTGGGCCATTTTGGGGCATGGCATGTAAAAACCACCTTGGCATCACTCATTTCTAGTGAAGCTTGGCCAGTGCATGTCCCTTGATTTATTACAATCAACATTAATGGTCAGAACCAAATAAAAGACAGTCACGATCTTGAATGGAATCAGAAAAATACATGTACTAGGATTCTGTTGTCAAATCTCATCTAAACACTTAAAAGTTCCCCTCAATATCCACTACATCCTGGGTAAATATGAGAGAAGCACACACACCTTTCACTTGAAGTGCCATTTTCTAAAGAAAGACCTAAACACAAAAGAAACATCATTACAACTACAATAACAAGGCGAGACAAATTTTAGAAATCCAAAAAAATTATTTGAGAAATCAAACAAACAAATTTTAGAAATAAAAAAACTATGTGAGAAATCCAAGGCCGTTGCCTCAGGAAAATTTTAAGGAGCCCAAGAAATTTTTTTCGGAGCCCAGGATAAGAGTTGACACAGTCAATCCTGGGGCCTTGGAAGGGTGGGTTGGATGTGACTTGGGAAATCTAGGGGAGGGGTCCAGGGGGCACCTCCTTCTCTCTGTTGAGATTTTCCTTGACCAAACAGACAAATTTTAAAAATCAGAAACTCGTTTTAGAAATCAAACAGACAATTTTTAGAAATCAAAAAATTATTTGAAAATCAAATTGACAAATTTTGGAAATCAAAAATTGCGTAATTTAGAAATCAAATGGACATGCCAAGAATCAAAACAGTCAAATAATATTTTAGTGATGCTCCTCAAACATGGTACAAAACAGCTGATGTGATCTCGCGGATGCAGATGCAGTACAAAGCATCAGCAGTTGACAAAGTGAAAATTGAGGCTGCAATGACTTAATTTATGGATGAGACAAGTCTTGGTTGTCCATACAAGATTTTAGTTGTCTTGAAGGACCATGCAATGGCCAATATGGATCCCTGAGGTAAAGATTACGCATGCATCCAATATAAAACTTAATACACTTAGCTGAGAAAAAACTTTTAAGCCATACCTCCTATGTTATCGATCACTGACGAGCTTGGGCCAATGATTTCCTGAATCAATCCCTTGGCTTTTTTTATCTGATCATCAGTACCAGAAATTTCAACTGGAGTTTCACTGTAGGTTGCATCATCCTTTTTCACCTTCAGGAGCAGAATATTCATTTAAATACAGACAAAAACATGATAGATTCTGACTCTTACACACATCTCTGGGATCTAGGCTTTTAGTCAGGATTTGAGAAGTGGACAATCAAAACTTTCTATGGGGCCAAAAGTGCAATCCTCCCATGGAGGTCTGCAGGTAAAATTTATGCACATTGTAAGCTGTGTTTCTGCATGCTAGTTAAAAGTACAAACTTAGTTGGATACAGGTATTTCCAAATTTGCTCAGAAAATAACTTTTTGTAGTCATCAATCAAACATCTTTTTGAAGAGATCAGTACAAGGGACTTTGAAACAACAACTACATGTAGGGATATTCAAGAGACAGACAAGAGGGGCGAATCTTTTTAACTTAACAACACATTTCAACTCTTAATCCATGGTCTTTTTCTGTAGCACACACCTTTATATAAGCTCCACTTTGTTCCTGGATCTCTCTTATTTTCTGACCACCCTTACCTAAACATGAAAGTAATCCAAATACATAAAAAAAAAAACAGTAATACATATTACAATGTACTCGAAAAAGCATTATGCATATGGTGTTTAAAGGAATACATTTTTCAATATTTTGATGCAGGTGTTATTTGAGGGTGGCACTTTTTAAAGATTCCACGAAAACTTTTGAATAAAACTTAACTCTCATCTTTATTCACAAAGTATTGCAAGAACAACACATTTGTTGAAAACATGCAAACAAAATGTGCATGGGTTTTGAGTATGCAATGGTTAATTACTTCAGACCTGTAGAGTATGTTTAAAATGTCAATGTCACTCTTCGATCTATATCACAGCTACGTGTATTTAGGAGCCGGACCTCAGTAACTATGATATCATTGGTGGATAGATAGCAATCTTTATATCACCTAAGAAAACTTCAAAATAGCAATTATAATGATTACATGTAATAGCATCTCTGTAGTGGTCCTGTACTGTAGATGCATACAAAGTGCTATGTCTTTTCTTGCATGACATTTGTAAGAGTGCTATGATTATTTCATGGAGCAAAGTGCATAATTAGGTGTTTGTTAACCACTTTTTACCTCATTGAAGTATACTACGAACAATAAGTTAGTAGTATATTTCAAAGAGACAAACAGTGGTTATGGTTCTATTGCCAAAAGCAAAGCCAGTACCTCACAGATGTACAGAAACAGCTAAATGTATTAAGTCTATGGTAGCCCTTGGGTAGTCCACAAATTCAGAAACAGGGGGCTTAAAATATTTCAGCAAGAGTGCAATGTAGCGCTAAACCTATAACACATGGAAATCCCTGGGAATGTGGGGGCTTCAAAGGACAGTTGGTTACAATAACGAGGGGAAAAAAAATCCATGAAAAACAAAGATCCACACCCCCATGCCAGTAGATCCAACAGTGGTCTGCCACTTACATCCAGTTTATTCTAGTTTCTATATACACATAGAGGGAAAAAGATCCCCCTCTGTCACATGAAGGGGATTTGGGTCTGCCTGAGGTCTGTGCATAGGTTATTGAGGGGGGTCCTTCTTAACTACCAGTTGGTTAGGAATTTGTCGCTAAGGAAGGTTTCTAACTGTCATAATTTGAAAACCAGAGCTTGAAAGGATAAACTTTTTGCACAGGTTTGTTCCACTAAACTTAAATGGCATCTACATCTAAAAATTTACCATCGCTTGCATCTAAGCATGAACATGCTGTAATTGGGTGTCAAACATGGCATGATTAGTCATCAAACATTTGAAGTTTAGCAGACCGTAACACAAACTTTTGCGCTCAAAATGTTCACCATCAACAAATACGGGCGAAACTTCAAACCAGGAGTGCCTCCAAGTAAGGACTCATGGAATGAAGCCATGGAATTGACTGCCGAGTTCCCAATCTTTCTGCCGATTTGTGTGCTGACCTTTTAGCACAAAAGTTCACGCCACGGTCTGCTAAACTTCAAATGTTTGATGACCAATCATGCCACGTTTGACACCCAATTAGAGCATGTTTCGGCGTCACGTGTTCACGATCAGATGCAAGCGACGGTAAATCGGTGTCAATAGATTAAGAACTTCCACATGCATAATGCTACGTATGGGTTTTTTATGAAACTCGTATTATCATTAAACTTATAAGGTAATTTTACATCATGTCTTCATATCTTTCTCCGCAGTTCACTCGCACTAACAAGCTTAATACTAACCAATAATATAACGGACGTCGTCCGAAGGAACCATCATTTCAGTACTATTTCTTTCACGTCCTTGTCCTCCACGCGAGCGGCCAAATCCTCTGGAATTCTCCCTAGCTCCTCGATCCCTCCAATGGCCGCCATCATTGTTTTCATCACGGTCTCCTCTCCACGAGCTGTCGCCACGTGAGAAGTTTGAGTCCTGACCTCGACGCCCAAATCCGCCATCACCTCGGCCAAAGCCTCCGGAATTCACTTCTCTGGAATAACCATTGCTTCTCCCTGGGCTAGAATACTGGTTTCCACTTTCCGTTGAGTTTCCAAATCGATTTGCACGCCCGCGTCCAAAGCCAGGTCTTCTTGCATCAGAGAAATTCTGGTTCGCGGTCTTGTTAAAGGAATTGTACCAACCTCTTCCGCCAGGTGGAATGTATGCATTATTGGAAACACTCGTCGACTCGTCCGCTTCCTCCTCCCAGTCGCTCATTTTCGCAGCAATTGATGTTCTGAGGAGCCGCGAAAGTCGAGGCGAGGATGACGATCAATGCTAAAGGTATTCTCAGTCCGCCATATCTATTTGTGAACCCACAAAGCCCTGTGGGATTCATGAGCCCAGTGCGCGGATGATGAAGCGCGGAGGCCTGGTATCTAATTCGATCTTTTTTCTCGCATTTTCTCTGGCGCAAGAAGTAAGCCAAATGATAATTCCTGTTTGCGTGGTAAACAGTTGCCTCGAGGGTTGTTCAAAATAATAATGTGAAGAAAAGAAGAGTAATTGAAGATTCTTCTACACTTAACAAATAGAACATGCTGGTCGTAGGCCGCGTGCGTCTGTTCAGTAAGTGGATCACAGATGACGTCAAAATGTAGTAGGAACAAAAAACTGTGGCAAACAAACCGATAGATACCTTGCATGTGGGGCGTGCTCCAGTTAGGCTCGATTACCAGTCGTTGTTTAAAACCAGTCCGAGATTTCCTCTTCGGAACGAACAAAACGTGGCCGGGGAGGGCGTCCATGTTTTAATACTCAGTTTCCGTGCTACGACGAACGCGATTATCAACGGCTCAACACATAAGACGTACCTGTCTGAATTTTCTTGATTGCCTTTGGCTATAAAATACAATTGTACATCTCGATTTCATTATTTGTAGCCGAGTAATTAACACTGATTTTGTAAAGCATCTCCATGCATAATAGCTGAAAAACTAACAGATATCTCATGCGATAGTTAAGATGGAAGAACGCACGACTTCAGTGTGTGCCTACTATCCTCGACTCGCTGGTTCAAATCCGATTTACAGTATATTTTTTCTTTTATTTTTTGCGCTTCTGTGAACTCCAGTAGCAGTACTTAATTATTTAAACAGTGTTCGCTGGACGGGAAGGAGCGGTTTTCAGAACTATGGTTTTCACGTAAGTCCGTCAGCCGGAGGGGGCTATGTATGAAATGGTCCGTAGGAAATCTATACTTAATGCAACATTGCTTCCTTAGGGAAGGATGCCTGTCTTATATGTCTGTGGCCAGCCACGATGAAACACGCTCACCGAGTTCGTGTTCGTGATCTGAATGATAACCAATGACGCGTACACAATGTAAGTTTGCTGAATAACAAAAAAATCCACTGAGAAAAGACGTTGTTGTTTTATAAGTAAGGAAAAATTTGACAATCGGTACTTAGATCTGGGAGTGCGCGACAACTAGACAGAAGGGCAATTAAGTCAAATGGGAAACAAGTTGCTTATGTCTCTGTTCATAACACAGAAATTTTCCATTGAATTCAAGCCATTGAATTCAAGCCATTCCCATTGAATTCAAGCTTGCTGTCATTGTGTGTTACAAACGTGGCGGTCATGCTTGTACTAAAGTCAAGAACCATGACGGATGGTTTACAAACTGTTCAAATTAGAATATTGATAATCCCATTTTATTTCTCCGTTTTCTCCTGAAGTTTCAGTTTCTATAGAGAAGATATATCAAACAATCGAGACAGATGTACTTTTCCAAACACCTCGACTAACTTCTTGATCTAAAACAATTTGTCGTGTTTGACATATTACATACAAAATTGAGTGTTTACATCACGGCTATTCATGATATTGGTACACCCACACAATACGAAATTTTCACTTAAGAAAAGAACCCATGTGCCAGAAATTTCCATGCCTCGTAACATCAATATTGACGTCAGTTTTACATATTATACACTGTTGAAAACACTTCAGCAAAAACTTAATTGCGCTGTTGTGATCTGAAACGACTTTGGATGTGAAAAACGCTATCTCGATTCCGCTTTAACGTTCTCAGTTCTTAAAGTACTTTTTATACCCTTCCACCATATTTTCTCGCCATTCGTTGAATTTTTTCGGTACAACTCTTTTCTGCATCCATTCCATATAAGTATCAGGAATCCATCCGTTGTAGAGGTTGTTTGTTAGTCCAAACACTCGACACGCTTCGTCAGGTTTCTGCTCGTCCGGCATGACCACGTAGAAATTGCCGCCATTTGTCGCTCGAACAAGGCCATCTTCTCCTTCGGGTTTCGCTGGGTGCCACCCGTGTTTGATCAGTAAGAAATACGCCTTCTTTCCATACCAGTCAACCTCTCTACTCGGTGGAAGAAACAACACGAATGATCGATCCACCAATGGGCAAGATAAAAGTGCCCGCATGTATGTCACATATCCTCCACCGTCAGGGTAGCTTTCCACTATCTCATGCTCCACAAAAGCTTTGTCCCAATCATTACGAGCTTTTAGATTTTTGGGGTCTAACAACTGTAGGAATACCTTGGCAGGGAATGGCATATCAACCGTGTAAACTATCTTAATAGGAACTTCGTCATCGTATATGGTTTTAATCCAGTAAGTGTAGCCAGGGCCCGTAGCCGCTTCAGTCCAGCCGTCACCTTTCTCCAAGTCTTCTTTGAACCACTTGGCTTTTTGAAGCTCTTCTTCGTACGAGAAAGTTCGGAACAACTCAGTTTCTTTAGCCTGCATTACGGTCAGCTTTTGGAAGAACAAGGATTTGCATAGATCGATTATTGCAGCTCCAATATATTGTGTCTCGTTACTGACTCCTCCCAGCAACTCGTGTCTTATTGGTTGCTATTTTTGTCGAACGCTGTAGCGCCATCTTCATGCTTGTCACGTTGCTTCTGTTGTTGTGTGTTTGCGAGAGAGGTCGACCTAAATCATGGTCTCTTGGTTTCACCCGCAATATTTTTACATTCTATCTCCTAGTTGTTTTCTCACGTTTTTCCGTTTATATGTATTTGGCTTCCGGCGTCGCTGCATGACTCAAATGTGTTATGTGCTAAGTTTATATTTGCCAAACTATTAGTGTTTCTCGTTATTTTGCTCTTGAGTGATACAAAGAGAAATAGGTTTAGTCAAATATGGTATATCTATATCACAACACAATCCGCAACAACAACATCTTTAGTTTCTCAATACAAATATAAACATAAAACCCTTTTAGTATATTTAATATGTGTGGTAGGCAATCAATGGCTACGAAGTAACACTCCGACTTTCCTTTAAAGGACGTCTGATTTTTGATGCCATGCTGAGACGAGACTGAATTTTAGTCCACTCTCTGGACTCTCCCTTAAACTCTGACATTGGAATATTCGATAGACATTGGAATATTCGATAGAGAGCAAAATTCAGAGTTAAATTAAACATCCACAATTGTTCAATATCCTTGCTCTGTTATGCAAATTCCTACTATATTGATAAAGCTCCCCTTGGGCTATGCGTACAAGAGCTGAATCTTCGCTAACGTCACTGTTTACATTTTTCCTCAATAGCATAAGACTTTGACTAGAGAAGGCATCATGCTAAACACCAATAGAATACAAATGTTAAAAGACCTTGTAAAACTTAATAATTGGTGAAAGTTTTGGCTCTTTTGGTGAAATATTCGAGGAGAAATTGGTTTTCAAAACCCGCAGAATTTCTGAGTGGCAAAAGCGCTAATGGCTCATACAGAAACATTTCGAGTTTTTAAAACCGCATGGAACAAAAAGTATTCAATATATCTGGTTCAAATTCCTTGGGACAGTTAATCATGCAATACCCTTTCAATATTCAGGACTAATGTTTTTCTCGCACCATCAGAAAATTTATCGTTTATGCTAATGGCCAAGTATTGTAAACAAAGATTCTCCCTTTAAGCATAGTTTTCTATTAATATGCTTTGAGAGACAAATGATTGCTTTTATTATTCATTTTAGGTGGATTCATCAAGGAATACAGTGAAACCTGCATTAAGCGGACACCCTCTATTAAGTGAACACCAGCTAGAGTCCCAAAATTTTTTCCCACACTCCCATATTTACTGTAAAACTAACCTGCGTTCAGCGGACACCTCTGTTTAGCGGACGCGGACACCAATATTAAGCCATTTTGTTGCACAAAACCTTCAATAAGCGGACACTTCAAGAGCTTTTTACTTCTAGAGGTCTAGCCGAGACTTCTTTAACATCGTTCAGCGATGTCGTTTTAAAGCTAAGTGATTATTCCAGATTGATGCATTGACTGACTAGACATTCTCCTATGAGCACTGTTTGATCTTACACTGTGTTACACTGTGTTACAAAAGAGTTAATAATTAACTATTATTGCACAACATATTTTTTTAGAACCTGTTTTAAACGGACACCCTGTATTAAGCGGACGAGGGTCCCAAGGGTGTCCGCTAAATACAGTTTTCACTGTATATAAATCTTGGGGTGCTGCCGGGATAAACAGAACGGCAAATAATGCAACGAAACAACAACTTGCTGATTCACAATAATTCCCTTAAACAATTCAGAATTCATGCCCTCCCCCCACCCAACCTATACAGTAGATACGGAATAACTGAACCACTGACATAAAATAACTACACTTTAACACACTCACCCAAACATAGTTTTTTCAGTTTAAAAATAACTATGATGAATGGTTAATTTGTTTCCATATAGAAAATTTCGATTTTATTTCCGTCATGATTTTCTCCTAAGTTCTAGTTTCAATAGATATGATATATCAAACATTCTACACAGTTTTGTTTTTTCCAAACACCTCTACTCACCTGTCGACGGTGTTCGGAAACGATATGAAACACTGTCTTTCGTGTTTGACCTATTACATACAAAATGGAGCGTTCACATGGCGGCGATATTGGTACACCCAAACAATACGAAATTTTCATATAAGAAAATACTAAAACCAGGAAGAACCGAGCAACCCTAGCTAACTGCCAGGAACTGGTACACTTATATGTTGTTATCCCCTATAAAACATAGCAGCTTGTGGACTGATTCCTGATTGCATCTTTTGTCGCCCTGTACCACAATCGGACCATAGAAATGACGTCATAAAATGCTCAAAACCCAAACGGAACCAGGAGCAGCAGGCGAGTGGTTTCCATGGAAAGGTTTTGTGCATTTTATACGACGTTCCTCTTATGGTCTCCACAAGAGCGTAGGCAATGCCAAATGCGGTCAGTATGTTTATTACGAGGGATGCCTGTGGCAAAGCTCGTCGAAGTTTTGGTCGAGTTTTTTTTTTTTTTCTTCGTAGTCACAAATTGACACTTTTTTTTAAGTTTTCTCTATCCCGCGGGACCACATGGTGTTTGTGTTTGTTTCGCGTGCAAGTATGCGAAGTTGAAATCAAGTCGTACCGAAGGTACAATTCGCTTCAAAAGCACCCATCGCCTCGAGACTTCACCAAGAGCATGATCAGAAGTTGCCCTAGCCATCGCTTTCCTACATCGCAGGTAGGCTTCTTGTTTACAATAACACCGTGGACTTGCTGGGGATTTTGAGAGGAAATCAGACGAATGCCAAACTCTAGCTCTCGTGACAGCACGGAAAATCACTTTTCTACATTTGATTCCGTCGATTTTATCAGGAGTGTGGCCCCGAATATCCCATATTGCTTTTTCCACATTGCTCGTTTTCGTTTTCTGCAACAAATGTCTCAGCAGTTTCGTAAGTTTTCGAAAACATTAGCTTGGGTAGCGTTCCAGGCACGACATTTTCAAGGCCTATGCTCTCATCGATCGTAGCACTTCACCAAGGAGAGTGCGCAAATTCATTCAGTTGTTTTAAAAATAAGGTTTGCACCGTTTTGAGAGGAAAAATGGCGCTGTTCATGTAATTTGTGATAATCGGTATCGACATAAATTAATATTTTGCCGACAAGGAAGAGAAAACTGGGTGCGAGCGTCGTATGCCAAAGCTCATGGATAGTACGTTTGTAAAAAGAGACGGTTGAGAAACTTGTGACATTCTACGGTCAGCCTTTCCCCTAGCACTTTCGCATAAGGTTTATTTTCATTGTGTAATCAGCGTTATCTAATTTTATCTTTAATTCTGTTGTTTGTATATCAACTTTAAAACCCCAAAGGTGGTGCCACTGCATTTGATCGGGGGTACACGGTCCCTATTTTTCCTAACAAGTGGTTTTGGGAGTTTACGTGTCCGGCTTTGGCGCAGGTAGGACCTTACTTGATGTATCTCTTGTCCACTTTGTTGTAAGCCTATTGTCACAATTAAAACATATCTTGGGCCTGGCTGACCAACGCGCCCATGCCTCAACCTTTGAGTGTGTTCGATTGCGGTAGTGAAGGAAAAATTGTGTATATGCATATTAGTTGTCCAGGTCTCTCTCGTTTTGCACTTGCACTAACCCCTTTACACGGTGGGGTAAAGAGAGTCCAGGGCTTGCACTGAGTGAATGTATATGGAAATTCATGTTCTCAAAAATGCACATTCAAGTGTTTTCGCTTATATCGATCGCTTCACGATCAAATGAAGCTAAACGCAGATCGACTTGAGTCTTTTGAAGACACATCTCCTTAATAAAGACGTTGAAAAAACAGCTCTTACCATCGAGGGGAGGTGTAAACAGAAATATTAAAGAGGCCCTGTTAGGGGGGGTACCCATGTCCCCTGTCTGAAATTCGCCACCAGCCATGTCGGCATTTCGCAAGATTCCTGTGTCGCCTGTCGGAATTTCGTCTCAGAGGAGTTGTGTCGGGAAATTTGACCTTGTTCGATTAAAACGAAGCTACACGTATAACCCATCGTAATACCTTTGTTTATTAAAAAAAAAAACCCGACACAGTGCTCTCAAGTCTCACGCATTGAGCATGAGGCTCACGCAAACGAACTCAATCTTGCGCTCTCACGCTGAAACTATTATTTCGCACGCATTGAAGGTTCCTTGCTGTTTTAGTCAAGTACATATATAATTAAGTATCTCTTTGTACGATATAATTTACTCCTTGTATGCTTTGCACTTGCTTCGAGCACTCTTCAGCACTAGGAATTCTTATGCAGAGCAAGCATTTCCGCGGTCAGTGGGTTTAATGATTACTTTATGGTTACTTTTAACGCATCACATTTCGACTCAGAATGAAGGAAAAGACTTCTTAGCCACTTCAATTTTTCAAAATTTTGTAAGGGGCTGGAGGCATGCTGGGGGACATATTGGGGGCATGCTTTCTAAGGGCTTGGGCATGCTTTCGAGCGCTGAAATTGCTAACCTCCTAGGGGATGTGGGGGCATGCTCCCCCTGGAAATTTTGAAATTCAGCCATTTTCCAGTCAGTATTTGGACCTANAGATTTTTGGGGTCTAACAACTGTAGGAATACCTTGGCAGGGAATGGCATATCAACCGTGTAAACTATCTTAATAGGAACTTCGTCATCGTATATGGTTTTAATCCAGTAAGTGTAGCCAGGGCCCGTAGCCGCTTCAGTCCAGCCGTCACCTTTCTCCAAGTCTTCTTTGAACCACTTGGCTTTTTGAAGCTCTTCTTCGTACGAGAAAGTTCGGAACAACTCAGTTTCTTTAGCCTGCATTACGGTCAGCTTTTGGAAGAACAAGGATTTGCATAGATCGATTATTGCAGCTCCAATATATTGTGTCTCGTTACTGACTCCTCCCAGCAACTCGTGTCTTATTGGTTGCTATTTTTGTCGAACACTGTAGCGCCATTTTCATGCTTGTCACGTTTCTTCTGTGGTTGAGTGTTAGCGAGGGAGGATGACCTAAATCATGGTTTCCTAATGTCAGCCGCAAAAATGTTTACATTCTCTCTCCTTGTTGTCTTCTTACGTTTTTCCGTTTATATGTATTTGGCTTCCGGCGTCGCTGCATGATTCAAATGTGCTATTTACTTGTACTAAGTTTATATTTGCCAAACTGTTTAAAATGCTTCTCGTTATTTTGCTCTTGAGTCATATAAAGCCGAGAAATGGGTTTAGTCAAATATGGTATATCTAAATCACAACACAATCAACAACAGCATCTTTATTTTCTCAATACAAATATAAACATTAAAAATTTTTTGTATAGTAAGAGATGTCCAACAGTAGCAATTAAATGTAGACGTGATCATACATGTAGATGCGAATGCAGCCATAACACTGCTGGAAAGAAAAAACATGAAAACTGCATTTTCAGGCTTTGAACGGGATTCGACTGAACCTACGACTGCGATACCGGTGCAATGCTCTCCCAACTGAGCTATCAAAGCTACATGAGAGCAGTCGCGAACCGTTAAGGAACGTTTTCGCGTGAGAGGTCACAAATGTGAAAAAGTTCCGAACGGTTTGTGACCGCTTTCATTGGGCTTTGATAGCTTAGTTGGGAGAGCATTGCGTCGGTATCGCAAAGGTTGTGGGTTCAAATCCCGTTCAAAGCCTGAAATTGTTTTCAGGTCTTTTTTTCCAGTAGTGTTATGGGTTGCATTCGCAACTATCATCATGTCTATGTTTTAGGTTATTTAATATATGCAGTAGGTAATTAATGGCTACAAAGTTAACACTCCGGCTTTCCTTTAAAGGACGTCTGATTTTTGATGCCATGCTGAGTCGAGACTGAATTTGAGTCCTCTCTCTGAGCTCTCGCTTTAACTCAGACATTGGAATATCGCGTTTGTTAGCGAACAAAATTTAGGGTTAAATTAAACATCTACAATAGCCTTGCTTTGTTATGCAAATTTCTAACTATATTGACAGAGTTCCCCTTGGGCTTTACGTATAGAGAGACAAATAATTTCCCTTTGCTATTTATTTTGGGTGGATTCATCAAGGAATATTTAAATCTAGCGGTTTGGGGATAAACAGAAGTACAAATAAGTCAAAAAGACAACAACTTACTAATCTCTGTGTTTATAACACAGTATGGTTAGTTATAACATACAAGAAAAATTTGTAATAATTATCCTAAACAATAAAATGACATTCAGAATTCCTGTTCCACCTACTTCTAAACAATAAATAAGGACTAACATGGCGGTCACATTCCGTTTAACAGTCCACTTAAGCACTCAAGCCCTCAAGTCAAGAACCATAAAGTATGATGATGGTTAACCGGCTATATAAAAATTGATATATTGATAATTGCGATTTGATTTCTCCGTTGTCTCCTCAAGTTTCAATAGAGAAGATAGATCACTCATCCCAAAATAAGATTGTTTTCAAACACCTGGACTTACTTCTCGATTTAAAAGCAGTTTCTGTTTTACATATGTTGCATACAAAATGGGGCATTCACATGGCGGCTATATTGCACCCAAACAATACGAAATTTCACTTAGGAAAAGAGCCCATGGTCCAGAAATGTCCTTCATTCGTAACATCAATATGGCAGCTTTGACGTCTTCAGTTTTATATTGTACACTGTTGAAAACACTTCAGCAAACCCTTTTACAAGTGCGCTGTCATGGTCTGAAACGACTACTGTGATAAATGAAACGCTATCTCGATTCCGCTTCAACGTTATCAGTTCTTAAAGTACTTTTTATACCCTTCCACCATATTTTCTCGCCATTCGTTGAATTTTTTCGGTACAACTCTTTTCTGCATCCATTCCATATAAGTATCAGGAATCCATCCGTTGTAGAGGTTGTTTGTTAGTCCAAACACTCGACACGCTTCGTCAGGTTTCTGCTCGTCCGGCATGACCACGTAGAAATTGCCGCCATTTGTCGCTCGAACAAGGCCATCTTCTCCTTCGGGTTTCGCTGGGTGCCACCCGTGTTTGATCAGTAAGAAATACGCCTTCTTTCCATACCAGTCAACCTCTCTACTCGGTGGAAGAAACAACACGAATGATCGATCCACCAATGGGCAAGATAAAAGTGCCCGCATGTATGTCACATATCCTCCACCGTCAGGGTAGCTTTCCACTATCTCATGCTCCACAAAAGCTTTGTCCCAATCATTACGAGCTTTTAGATTTTTGGGGTCTAACAACTGTAGGAATACCTTGGCAGGGAATGGCATATCAACCGTGTAAACTATCTTAATAGGAACTTCGTCATCGTATATGGTTTTAATCCAGTAAGTGTAGCCAGGGCCCGTAGCCGCTTCAGTCCAGCCGTCACCTTTCTCCAAGTCTTCTTTGAACCACTTGGCTTTTTGAAGCTCTTCTTCGTACGAGAAAGTTCGGAACAACTCAGTTTCTTTAGCCTGCATTACGGTCAGCTTTTGGAAGAACAAGGATTTGCATAGATCGATTATTGCAGCTCCAATATATTGTGTCTCGTTACTGACTCCTCCCAGCAACTCGTGTCTTATTGGTTGCTATTTTTGTCGAACGCTGTAGCGCCATCTTCATGCTTGTCACGTTGCTTCTGTTGTTGTGTGTTTGCGAGAGAGGTCGACCTAAATCATGGTCTCTTGGTTTCACCCGCAATATTTTTACATTCTATCTCCTAGTTGTTTTCTCACGTTTTTCCGTTTATATGTATTTGGCTTCCGGCGTCGCTGCATGACTCAAATGTGTTATGTGCTAAGTTTATATTTGCCAAACTATTAGTGTTTCTCGTTATTTTGCTCTTGAGTGATACAAAGAGAAATAGGTTTAGTCAAATATGGTATATCTATATCACAACACAATCCGCAACAACAACATCTTTAGTTTCTCAATACAAATATAAACATAAAACCCTTTTAGTATATTTAATATGTGTGGTAGGCAATCAATGGCTACGAAGTAACACTCCGACTTTCCTTTAAAGGACGTCTGATTTTTGATGCCATGCTGAGACGAGACTGAATTTTAGTCCACTCTCTGGACTCTCCCTTAAACTCTGACATTGGAATATTCGATAGACATTGGAATATTCGATAGAGAGCAAAATTCAGAGTTAAATTAAACATCCACAATTGTTCAATATCCTTGCTCTGTTATGCAAATTCCTACTATATTGATAAAGCTCCCCTTGGGCTATGCGTACAAGAGCTGAATCTTCGCTAACGTCACTGTTTACATTTTTCCTCAATAGCATAAGACTTTGACTAGAGAAGGCATCATGCTAAACACCAATAGAATACAAATGTTAAAAGACCTTGTAAAACTTAATAATTGGTGAAAGTTTTGGCTCTTTTGGTGAAATATTCGAGGAGAAATTGGTTTTCAAAACCCGCAGAATTTCTGAGTGGCAAAAGCGCTAATGGCTCATACAGAAACATTTCGAGTTTTTAAAACCGCATGGAACAAAAAGTATTCAATATATCTGGTTCAAATTCCTTGGGACAGTTAATCATGCAATACCCTTTCAATATTCAGGACTAATGTTTTTCTCGCACCATCAGAAAATTTATCGTTTATGCTAATGGCCAAGTATTGTAAACAAAGATTCTCCCTTTAAGCATAGTTTTCTATTAATATGCTTTGAGAGACAAATGATTGCTTTTATTATTCATTTTAGGTGGATTCATCAAGGAATACAGTGAAACCTGCATTAAGCGGACACCCTCTATTAAGTGAACACCAGCTAGAGTCCCAAAATTTTTTCCCACACTCCCATATTTACTGTAAAACTAACCTGCGTTCAGCGGACACCTCTGTTTAGCGGACGCGGACACCAATATTAAGCCATTTTGTTGCACAAAACCTTCAATAAGCGGACACTTCAAGAGCTTTTTACTTCTAGAGGTCTAGCCGAGACTTCTTTAACATCGTTCAGCGATGTCGTTTTAAAGCTAAGTGATTATTCCAGATTGATGCATTGACTGACTAGACATTCTCCTATGAGCACTGTTTGATCTTACACTGTGTTACACTGTGTTACAAAAGAGTTAATAATTAACTATTATTGCACAACATATTTTTTTAGAACCTGTTTTAAACGGACACCCTGTATTAAGCGGACGAGGGTCCCAAGGGTGTCCGCTAAATACAGTTTTCACTGTATATAAATCTTGGGGTGCTGCCGGGATAAACAGAACGGCAAATAATGCAACGAAACAACAACTTGCTGATTCACAATAATTCCCTTAAACAATTCAGAATTCATGCCCTCCCCCCACCCAACCTATACAGTAGATACGGAATAACTGAACCACTGACATAAAATAACTACACTTTAACACACTCACCCAAACATAGTTTTTTCAGTTTAAAAATAACTATGATGAATGGTTAATTTGTTTCCATATAGAAAATTTCGATTTTATTTCCGTCATGATTTTCTCCTAAGTTCTAGTTTCAATAGATATGATATATCAAACATTCTACACAGTTTTGTTTTTTCCAAACACCTCTACTCACCTGTCGACGGTGTTCGGAAACGATATGAAACACTGTCTTTCGTGTTTGACCTATTACATACAAAATGGAGCGTTCACATGGCGGCGATATTGGTACACCCAAACAATACGAAATTTTCATATAAGAAAATACTAAAACCAGGAAGAACCGAGCAACCCTAGCTAACTGCCAGGAACTGGTACACTTATATGTTGTTATCCCCTATAAAACATAGCAGCTTGTGGACTGATTCCTGATTGCATCTTTTGTCGCCCTGTACCACAATCGGACCATAGAAATGACGTCATAAAATGCTCAAAACCCAAACGGAACCAGGAGCAGCAGGCGAGTGGTTTCCATGGAAAGGTTTTGTGCATTTTATACGACGTTCCTCTTATGGTCTCCACAAGAGCGTAGGCAATGCCAAATGCGGTCAGTATGTTTATTACGAGGGATGCCTGTGGCAAAGCTCGTCGAAGTTTTGGTCGAGTTTTTTTTTTTTTTCTTCGTAGTCACAAATTGACACTTTTTTTTAAGTTTTCTCTATCCCGCGGGACCACATGGTGTTTGTGTTTGTTTCGCGTGCAAGTATGCGAAGTTGAAATCAAGTCGTACCGAAGGTACAATTCGCTTCAAAAGCACCCATCGCCTCGAGACTTCACCAAGAGCATGATCAGAAGTTGCCCTAGCCATCGCTTTCCTACATCGCAGGTAGGCTTCTTGTTTACAATAACACCGTGGACTTGCTGGGGATTTTGAGAGGAAATCAGACGAATGCCAAACTCTAGCTCTCGTGACAGCACGGAAAATCACTTTTCTACATTTGATTCCGTCGATTTTATCAGGAGTGTGGCCCCGAATATCCCATATTGCTTTTTCCACATTGCTCGTTTTCGTTTTCTGCAACAAATGTCTCAGCAGTTTCGTAAGTTTTCGAAAACATTAGCTTGGGTAGCGTTCCAGGCACGACATTTTCAAGGCCTATGCTCTCATCGATCGTAGCACTTCACCAAGGAGAGTGCGCAAATTCATTCAGTTGTTTTAAAAATAAGGTTTGCACCGTTTTGAGAGGAAAAATGGCGCTGTTCATGTAATTTGTGATAATCGGTATCGACATAAATTAATATTTTGCCGACAAGGAAGAGAAAACTGGGTGCGAGCGTCGTATGCCAAAGCTCATGGATAGTACGTTTGTAAAAAGAGACGGTTGAGAAACTTGTGACATTCTACGGTCAGCCTTTCCCCTAGCACTTTCGCATAAGGTTTATTTTCATTGTGTAATCAGCGTTATCTAATTTTATCTTTAATTCTGTTGTTTGTATATCAACTTTAAAACCCCAAAGGTGGTGCCACTGCATTTGATCGGGGGTACACGGTCCCTATTTTTCCTAACAAGTGGTTTTGGGAGTTTACGTGTCCGGCTTTGGCGCAGGTAGGACCTTACTTGATGTATCTCTTGTCCACTTTGTTGTAAGCCTATTGTCACAATTAAAACATATCTTGGGCCTGGCTGACCAACGCGCCCATGCCTCAACCTTTGAGTGTGTTCGATTGCGGTAGTGAAGGAAAAATTGTGTATATGCATATTAGTTGTCCAGGTCTCTCTCGTTTTGCACTTGCACTAACCCCTTTACACGGTGGGGTAAAGAGAGTCCAGGGCTTGCACTGAGTGAATGTATATGGAAATTCATGTTCTCAAAAATGCACATTCAAGTGTTTTCGCTTATATCGATCGCTTCACGATCAAATGAAGCTAAACGCAGATCGACTTGAGTCTTTTGAAGACACATCTCCTTAATAAAGACGTTGAAAAAACAGCTCTTACCATCGAGGGGAGGTGTAAACAGAAATATTAAAGAGGCCCTGTTAGGGGGGGTACCCATGTCCCCTGTCTGAAATTCGCCACCAGCCATGTCGGCATTTCGCAAGATTCCTGTGTCGCCTGTCGGAATTTCGTCTCAGAGGAGTTGTGTCGGGAAATTTGACCTTGTTCGATTAAAACGAAGCTACACGTATAACCCATCGTAATACCTTTGTTTATTAAAAAAAAAAACCCGACACAGTGCTCTCAAGTCTCACGCATTGAGCATGAGGCTCACGCAAACGAACTCAATCTTGCGCTCTCACGCTGAAACTATTATTTCGCACGCATTGAAGGTTCCTTGCTGTTTTAGTCAAGTACATATATAATTAAGTATCTCTTTGTACGATATAATTTACTCCTTGTATGCTTTGCACTTGCTTCGAGCACTCTTCAGCACTAGGAATTCTTATGCAGAGCAAGCATTTCCGCGGTCAGTGGGTTTAATGATTACTTTATGGTTACTTTTAACGCATCACATTTCGACTCAGAATGAAGGAAAAGACTTCTTAGCCACTTCAATTTTTCAAAATTTTGTAAGGGGCTGGAGGCATGCTGGGGGACATATTGGGGGCATGCTTTCTAAGGGCTTGGGCATGCTTTCGAGCGCTGAAATTGCTAACCTCCTAGGGGATGTGGGGGCATGCTCCCCCTGGAAATTTTGAAATTCAGCCATTTTCCAGTCAGTATTTGGACCTAAAGTACAATCGAACCTATGACGATTTT